CCTGAGTAAATCTCTGTTCTGTATGGAACAGTATGTCAAGTCAAGCAGCGGTCTCTGAGTTTTCTATGCAGTTTTCTCAGGTGTTGTTTGCTTTGTGCGATCATCAGCAAGTGGCATCGAACCAATAAGCCTTAATTTAAATCTGCTGTCGAAAATTCACTGATCCAGCAACATGTCATGTTGTTCAGAACGAGTTATAAAGATTCGGTCGGCAAAGAACGGCTCTTAAGTGTTTCAAGTGTTTATTTTGCATCTAATGTTTGGCCCATCAACGCGAATGAATCAAGAGTTCACCATTTAGTCTTGATAGTTGCTACTTTTCTTTGAAACTTTAACGACAAACAGACATTTGTGATCTCCATCATCTACACGTATCCATATTCGTTTAATCATCAAATTTCCGTTTCAGCCTACATGCACAGGTTTCTTGTATTACAGTATTCCGCGAGGAACAGAATCGAATCTTAGCAGAGTAAATACTATCATCAGTGATTCGAAGAAACTAGAAAGGGAATAAAAAATTTAAGCGTGCTATACTTCTCCGTTCGACAGAAAATTTATATATCTTCTTGTGCGTAATAATAAATATTCTGATGAAAACTGTTCTGTGATCAGGCATTCACACTTTTCGAACTCCTTGGCTGACTAACTTCATTCAGCTTTGGCTAAGTGTACAGCTACATAAATCAAGCGTAGATAACCGAACTGTCTTAAGCTCAACTCTGTGGCCATCAGGAATGTGAAGTGTGCGTTTCCGCTGGGCGGCTACAGATAACGGTGTAAAAAGTGAAGTGGAGTGCTTCAGTGGCTTACACATGAGCTGAATGTTAATCCAAGTATCTTAGGTAATATTTCGATCGCCCGCACTTCCAAAGTCATGTTTAATCCTCTGTCGTTCAGCAGACGCTCGAAATTTGCAACGGCAGTATTTTGCCTACATTTCTCGATTTCCATGAAGTGTTTTCGTTCTTGTGGCAGGACCACAGGCAGCTCACTACGACCTCAATACTTCTAGCGTAAAGAACCATTTGACGTTGAAGGCTGAGGATTATGTTTATAGAATTAGCTAACGTGAAGACGTACGTTTAATCCACGAGGAAAGCTGTTTCAACTTTTATTTAGTCCAGAAATAGTTAAAACAACATAAATTGCAGTCAGCTGCTATGCCTGATAACGACCTATACATGTGTGAAAAGTTTCTTGAAAATTAGCCTAATTATGAGTTTCTTATTACTGATCCGCCATATTTTATGAACCTTTAGCACAAAAATGGTCTCGGGAAGCGGCCTGCTCAGACAGAAAATTATCTGAAAATAAGTTAGCACATATTCGCCTGTTTTACTAATGAGCCTAATTAAATCACCAGAGGTTTGAGTTTGACTACTCAAACTTTAAAACACCTGGCTGAAGACATCCCGTGTGGGATAATGCGTATATCACTAAATCGTTTCATCAACGTCTTCTTTCATATCGACAGAGTAGCAAATATATGGTAACGTTTACTGCGTCATCGTCATTTCCCTTTGCCGTATATCTTACATCTTCCGGATAATGTTGTTATACGAATGTTGTTGATTAAATTGTCAGTGCAAAAAAAATAGGAGGAAGCTATTATCATTATAAACCAGAGCGCAAAATTTTAGACCCGCCCCCAATTCATTTTCACCTCTTGAAGGAAAGCGCAGCTAGTTTGTACTATAAAGCCTTGTATGTCTTAATAACGCGCTATTTTTGTAACGGTTAGGGATCCACTGCTTCGGGAAAATTTTTCAATGCAGCTGGTTACCAAGAAACAGAGCCTCCAATTTTGCTGAATGAGTCATGCAGAGTTCTACCAAAATGTTCAGATTTCTCAGCGAGCTAATGACCTTCTAGATCTCAGTCATCACTTTATCGAACTTCTGCAGCAGGCATGTAGAAATAACACACGTCATATGACCGATTTTATTGACCCCAGCTACTAACAGTTGATCTTGATCATCCACTAGCGCAGGGGGTGACCCGAAGACCTCTCTGAATGGAACCTGCTCCCTAGAGAAGATTTCAAAGCGTCAGTACGAAGGTATTCAGTATAGCTCAACCACCTGTCATAGGCTTGCTACCTGGCTGCCTTCCGCGTGTTTCGCACTCCAGAGCAGGTCTTTCAAGTCTCTTTCCCGACAACCTTATTATGGGACCGATCTACCGCAATTTTGGATGGTCCGAGCACTTTCAGTGCATGCGTCCAGAAAGGAAGGCTGTCACTTGTACCACCGACTGGCCAAAGATGATAGTGCCTTGGAAAAAGTGGCTCGATGATCTTTCCTTAAGACTCGAATCATCTCTGCCATAAAGCGGCACAGGACTGGAAATGTTGGAGACCCTGTCGGACACTGCTGCCTCCGCAATCCTAAAGGGCAGTCATGGACACTGGCTAACTGAATTAATCATTTTGATATGCAGTTATACTAAATAAGTCTTCCATAACTATACTCGACTACACATGAACATCAGAGTGCCAAAATTTAATGCTCTCTATCATTGTCACGTATTTTTCCATGTTACTTTGTGTTTAAGTAATCCTCTACGAGTGCAAGAATACTTTTATGCTCTGGTGAGATCAAAAATTATGTGATATGCAATGGCACAAAGATCAGCGACCGTAGATGTACATCGGTGAAAATATTATGTCGAAAGAACAGAAAGATGCTGAGTGATGCGCTTCAGCGGTAAGACAGGGAAAATGATCGCCATGTGCTGGTGAAGTCATGAGACGAAGCAAAGAGGAAGTGTATCTTACCGCTTTGCGGTCATCCTGACTGAGGACACAGAGGCCGGTGCGACGTCGGCTGCCGAAGGAGTAGAGGCGGCGAAGGAGGGATGCCGGCGACTTGGAGCGATTCGAGGTGGCGGAAGGAAGCTGCGGTGGCTTCTGTGGTCGGAACTCGATTTCCATCACTAAGCCATGACATCGAAGGAGGGCAGAGACGAAGAGGGCAACGGTGACAGACTGAGAGAGGGTGAGAAAGAAGCGACAACGACGCACGGCGCGGCACCGATACGACAAAGTTGCGACGACGACGACGACGACGACGACGACGACGACGATGACGACTGAACGCTGCCGCGGGAAAACTGTCACACACCGACGACTGCCGGCCTGGGCTGAGACGACATTCAACTGCTCTAATTGTGACTACGACGACGGCACGGCGTGTGACCCAGAGACCCATTCGCCACTGCGGCCATCGAGGCTCACCTCCAAAGGCCACCGGTCATCGGTTTCCGTGGCTTTTGTTCCGGCCCTTGGCCTGACCTATAGCCTCCGAACTTTGTCTGTGGTCGTCCGATCCCCAGCTCCTGTGGTGTACTTCATGAAAAGTAACGCGCTCGAGCGAATGATCACACCGGCTTGGCGCAAGTGTCATCAATCAAGCGCAACGTGACGACAGCCAAACCGGACCAGCCTCTGTCAACCCTACCCCATCAAAAATCAACTCACAACTTTTGAGGATAACGTGATTTTACTGTTTGTGATACTCAAGTTCGGTTGTCACCTTCTCGTATGGTTAATTGGATTTTTACAACAAATTTGTGACCAACGCATAAAATAAAAGACAGGAAAATATTAGCCAAATTATACTCGAACATGGAGGAGAATAGACAGTGCAAGAAAAGAAGCTGTGAGAATGATTTGAAACGTTGTAAACTTCTCTTCTAATTTGTCATAGAAACTTGCACTTTTTACAACGTACCTCACACTACGAACCAGTTATGGAAAATGAGATTTTCAGCCTTTAATCTTTCTCTTTTAACATTACGCATATTAGAAAGTACTCGCGACTGTCGCAGAATCAGATATCTAAACTTGCAGACCAGAGATAAGTAGACTTGCAACTTGTAGATCAGCACTAGCAATATTCGGGAGCGTGACTCGAGAATAAAAGCAGAAATATATTTAATTACGACAACAGCTGTTTTCTTAATAATCAAAAAACTGTGTTACTTAACGTTAATAGATTCTACGCAGAAAAACACGAATCGGTAAATATCGGATAATTAGCTTAGTCTGATCATCCGCATCCATATTATAAGCTGCTACAACCAAATACGTCAAATGACGAATGATTCTTCGAAGACTAGATTTTACGGCGAACTGCACGACCCCTTGCGCCAAGTTGTCTACGGAAGGGTTTCAGTTAAGTGCGCCACGGCTACATGGTATTTGCGCTCCTGCAGTGCCAGAGGTACATAGGGAGTGCCAATTCCTGATACATGATCAGTGATTAGCGCTAGGTGGTGGACAAAATGTCGCGAGATTTATCTGGCACTACACGTGCTCAAATATCATGTAGCTGTAGCCTATTTAAATAGCCAATATGCAACTGTCATCAGAATGGAGTGCATTGTGTCGTGAAATCTGGTCCTGGATGAGTCATTTGTCATTAGTTTCATGTTCTTGCTTAATCGGTCAAATTTTAATTTATGTTGACGCTTTATTAACGGTTTTTTGGCTGTCTCTTCATATTCCGGCGCAGTGTTTATCTGATTGCCCTGACGCTTAACTTTTAAAGCGAATTAGCAAACGAAGTAAACTGAAGTTTTTACTCCCTGGCCTATTACCTTGTAACAAACAACTGATGACATTAGCAAGAAAATCTTATCCTTCATTTGGCCTGACGGTATGAATGATTATTAATGAATGAATGAATGATTGGGATATAAATGTACAAGCTTCGGGTACGTTATTAAGCGATTTTCCTGTTTCCGGCCATCCAAACGCAAATTTTGATGTTAATTATTTTTATTTCTTTATGCCGCTCATTGAACAAAGTCTTAACCTTTTGTCTGTCTTCGGCAATGAGTTATTATTTTTAATTTGTAATTTAAAAGATTTCTGATTCCTTCCTGAGGGAATAAGGCCGATGTTTCCCACCAAATCCTTCCGTCTGAGGGCCGGTGGATGAGCGAATTTCTGAATGTTTTGATATCGTTTCACTGTTAGCGAAGGCTTCGATCTGCGATTACAATGTGAACATCGTATAGTACGTTTTTCACGGCATCACGGCTTGTTTTACCTTTATCGTTTTAACCACACTCCTGTCTGAAGGTGTCTCTCCTCATAACCGAACCCATGGAGCCCGATTTCGGTCAGCTTACATGCTACTGCGGGTTACTCCTGACGGTTACCCGTTCAAAATGTGCTTCGGTTATCAACCTTCTTAACAACTCCGCGTGCTCATCTAGTCTGTAGAGCTTTAACTAGTTTGTTCTGTTGCTAAACTGGAGCTAAACTTTAAAAAAAATTATACTTTTAGTGCCTCACTGCTGTTTGACGAATTTATGAAGTTACTGTTTTGCTGTATGCGTGTAGATTTATTAAATTTAGTAATGTCGAAGAGTAATTTCTTAGGTTAACCGGGATGCTAAACATACACTGGCACTTTAGTCTGAATTTCGCAAGCCTCTTTTTGCAGATTTTATGCTGAAAGTACATCAGCTCGTCACAGGTCATCGGCGTATTGCATCAAAATTCTCAATGAAATGGGCAAGGAGTCTCGGAAATTTTCCCTCTGTTCTGCGCTGAAACCTAAAGAAAGAATTACGCATAAACTAACACCCTCTCCATTGCTCTGATACGAGGATTAAGTAGACCATTTATAATTTAACCTCGGCTTCCCCGTCGCGGACTACGGGCACGACAAGGCTGAGTATGACAGAATGTACACACCTGGTCCTTAAGCTGCTACCGTGGCCATGAATGGAGTTATGAACCCAAAAATGGTCGTCACCAGCCGCATTGCGAAAAACAGTTTTGGCCATTTAAGGCCTTGCCGTCTAGAGGGTTATTCTGATTGAGAATGCAGAAGTAAGAGTTGGAGGCTAACCTCTGCAATAAATTCGTAGAAGGCATGATGAAACTTGTTCAGTACGTCGTTCAGTCTGTGAACAGACAAAAATAGATAGCAGGTTATAGGTAAGTGCATGCGGATTGCTCTAACAGCTAGTTTGATGGCTTTCCTTTCCGAATGTAGGACAGCGACTTGCCGACATGAAAACTGCCTAAAGGTTTGCCATATCATAATTCAAATCAATGCTTTGAAAGTTGTCTTAGGCTTACTAACCGCAGAATTTCCTTTCCAACGGTATGGTGCAAAATTTCGTCCTGTCTTTAAATACGCTAATAAGTGTTTATGAGCATCAGATTTTGGGACCGCAGTTCTACCGACATGTCGGCGAAGTCAAAAGCCAGGAACGACTAAAGCAGCTTCGAGAGAACGATATTAAATTTTTTAAAGAAAAATCAATAGTTGCATGAAATGGCCAAGCTTCGCACAGCTCTAAAACGACGATGTGAATTCCGAGATTCTGCCAGACGACTTCCTGCGATAAACTTGTTTATTATGCAAAAAATTATTTCTGAAGATGCAAGAATCTACGGCCATTAGAGAGAGATTCAACGATTCGAACTCGCAAGCGTATGGACTGGTAGAGCGGCTTCCTCAAAACCTTATGCAAAACTTTTGCGTTGTTTGTTTGTTTGAGTGGAAGGCAGAGGAAATGAGTCTTTCGCGAAAGAAGACTCGAACTAACTTCAGTCAGAAACCAGCAAGCCGCAGTACAAATCGAATTCAGAGGACTTCAGCTGTTAGTGTAATTAAGAAGGAACATCAACTTCTCTTGCTTAAAGTCATGGCAAACGCAAGTGAAAGTGGTATGAACATACGAGGGGGTGCCGCTATGCAGACGATCAGCAAAAATGATGGCGATGTTGAAGGATACAGAGGCAGAGATCCTTAAGATAAAGATGTATAAATAATTTGAACGATGCAGAGGATATTCGAGACGAGGGGAAACTAACACCGGAACCTCATACAGTAGACGGCGATCACTCTGGACAAACAGAAAAAGAAGTAGGGGAAGGGGAAAAGCAGTTTAAATTACAACTGATAGTGGATTCCAATTCATTGATTGGATGACCAAAAATATGCTTACGGCGACGGATGAACAACGTACAGCATAATGAGGATTAAATGACAACACCTCTCAAGGAATAACTTTATTCAGTTCTATTCTTATTGGCGCAGGTGACATCAACAGATGTGGGGATTGAAAAAAAGGAGATTGGCCCTGTTGGACAAACTGGTTATGTATAAATCGTTTACCCAGTTTATGAGCTTCTCGTATGGAAGCCGAAACACTGTAAACGTCAAGCAAGAGACCAGCAAGAAACATTGAAGAATAAAGGAGTGACGGGTCTGCTGTAGGAGAAGAAAATTTCTTTGTACAATGAAGTAATCGCTGTTTTACAGCAAAAGTATTGGAAAGCTGCGAACAGCGGACTTTACTAGGCAGAAAAGTTCTCCTTATGCAAAGGGCATAATGTTATGATGACAGTCTCAACAAGCATGCACAATGCTCACCAAAAACGAAACTATTCTAGAAACCTCATGGACAGCAATGTCACTTCAAGCAAATCCAAAACAACTATCGATCAAAAATAAAGAGGCATCAATCGTGTTATGAAACAGACCCAACCGATTCTTGTTATTAATAATCGGTTATTAATTTGGATTTCAACGTTATTTATATCGCAAAGAAATCGATTTTGCCATACCACAACTTTAAAGATGGCGGCAAGTTGCAGCACACGTTTCCCAGAGTTTTTAAACGATTTTTTCAACGCACAAAACGAGCAAAGTAAAGGTCCGTTAATTAGTTAAGTTAAATTAAATGCTTCGTTTGATTAGTTGCTACCCAGACACCGTTACTTCCGGGAAAAATCGAAGTACTCATTTTCAGTCTGTTTTTCCCAGTTTCATGCTTTACGGTGAATTTTAAAACAAAGGAAATAACAATCTAGTGGAG